TAATTTTATTAAAAGTTATAAACGAAATAAATTTACCTTATAGAGAATAATAAATCTGTAAGTTGAGTGCAGTTACTCAAACCTAATCCAATATTTTATGCTCCTTTATCACCGATTTTATTGTCACTTTTCAAATAAAGTAAATCAATTTATTAACTATTTAAATTTGTTTTGAAATTAAAATCATAATATATAAAATAATTCAAGCTTTTTTTAGTTATCAATAAATAAATATTGTAAAATTTGAGATTAGTTAGGAACTTGCAGTTACCAAGTGCTTTACCAATAGTAGAAGCTCCATCATCCCCAATTTAATTTTAGCTTTTATAAATTAAAATCACGTTTAATTAAAATTTAAGACATTTTATAAATTAAAAGTTTTTTTTAATTCAGTTTGAATAAAATGCTTTGACATAATTTTATTAAAAGTTATAAACCAAATAAATTTACTTTATCCCAAGTTCTAAATTTGTAAGTTGAGTGCATTTACTCAAACCTAATCCAATATTTTATGCTCCTTTATCACCGATTTTATTGTCCCTTTTCAAATAAAGTAAATCAATTTATTAACTATTTAAATTTGTTTTGAAATTAAAATCAAAATATATAAAATAATTCAAGCTTTTTTTAGTTATCAATAAATAAATAACATATAATTTTACCAAATGTAAAATTTGAGATTAGTTAGGAACTTGCAGTTACCAAGTGCTTTACCAATAGTAGAAGCTCCATCATCCCCAATTTAATTTTAGCTTTTATAAATTAAAATCACGTTTAATTAAATTTTAAAACATTTTATAAATTAAAAGTTTTTTTAATTCAGTTCGAATAAAATGCTTTGGCATAATTTTATTAAAAGTTATAAACGAAATAAATTTACCTTATGCCAAATTCTAAATTTGTAAGTTGAGTGCAGTTACTCAAACCTAATCCAATATTTTATGCTCCTTTATCACCGATTTTATTGTCCCTTTTCAAATAAAGTAAATCAATTTATTAACTATTTAAATTTGTTTTGAAATTAAAATCATAATATATAAAATAATTCAAGCTTTTTTTAGTTATCAATAAATAAATAACATATAATTTTACCAAATGTAAAATATTGAGATTAGTTAGGAACTTGCAGTTACCAAGTGCTTTACCAATAGTAGAAGCTCCATCATCCCCAATTTAATTTTAGCTTTTATAAATTAAAATCACGTTTAATTAATATTTAAGAAATTTTATTTTTTAATTCAGTTTTAATAAAATGCTTTGACATAATTTTATTAAAAGTTATAAACCAAATAAATTTACTTTATCCCAAGTTCTAAATTTGTAAGTTGAGTGCATTTACTCAAACCTAATCCAATATCTTATGCTCCTTTATCACCAATTTTATTGTTCCTTTTCAAATAAAGTAAATCAATTTATTAACTATTTAAATGTGTTTTGAAATTTAAATCAAAATATATAAAATAATTCAAGCTTTTTTTAGTTATCAATAAATAAATATAATAAAATTTACCCAATATAAAATTTGAGATTAGTTAGGAACTTGCAGTTACCAAGTGCTTTACCAATAGTTGAAGCTCCATCCTCCCCAATTTAATTTTTGCTTTTATAAATGCAATCACGTTTAATTAAAAAATTTAAGACATTTTATTAAAACTTAATATATTTAATTTTATTTTTATTAAATAATAAAAAAAGATTATTTACTCTATTCGAATATCTAAATTCTTAAGTTGATTGCACTTACTTAAACCTAATCCAATGTTCAGTGCTCCTTTATCAGAGATTTTATTTTCCCTTTTCAAATAAAATAAATCAAATTATTAACAAATAAGTTAATTATTTTAAGCTAATCTCAAAAATAAAAATTTCATAAAGTTTTTTTAGATCATCAAAATTAATTGTAAAATTAAAATTACCTAAGACAAAGTTTTAAATTAATAAGTAACTGTAAGTTACTTAATGCTGTTCCAAAACAAAATAATCCTCCATCCCCAATTTAATTATTACTTTTGTAATAAAAAATAATATGCTAATAAATAAATTTATCATCTTTTAATCGATTAATTTAAAACATTTTAAAATTGTAAAAAAATAAAAATATTAAAATCTTTTTAAATTTTGTAAAAATGAAAAATAAAAATTACTAGAGTATCAATTTTAAATTCTCAAGTAATTAGCATCTGCCTAATTATATACAAATAGATGATGCTCCTTCTTCTCCAATTAAATTGTTACTAATAAAACATAAAATGATATATAAATAAAAATTATTGACAACTTAAAAAATGTTTAAGGATAAATTGATTAAAAACTTATTAAACTGCTTACAATTAATTTAAATTTCCCCTTAAAAAAAACTAAAATGAATTACGAGAGGTTAATATCTAAATGAGTCAACATTTTACAACTACTTAACGTCGTACTTATAGAAAATGCACCTTCTTTTCCAAATAAATTTTCACTTTTTTAAGTTTTTATTTACAATTAATTATAAAATAATATTGAAAAATAATTTTTTAATATATAAAAAATAATCAATAAAGTTTACACTGCATTTAAAGTTAAAGTTGTGAGTTTAGCACAACTACTAATACCTTCTGCAATACTCGATATCCCTCTGTCACCTATTTTATTTTTCCTTTCCAAAAAAAGATTTTTAATGTTTATATGCTTACAATAAATATAACTGAATGTGCTAAATATAATTTAAATAAAATTACCAAAGCTGCAGATTTAAGTTATTAAGTGTTTTGCATCTACATAATACTTTGCAAATCCAAGCAGCACCTCCATCTCCTAATTAATTTCCACTTTTATTTATTTTTGAAAATAATTTAGTTTAGATATTGAAAATTTTTAATGAGTTTTTAAAGATGAATTTAATTATATTAAAAAATAAATAAATTATACTCTAAATTTAGCTATAAACTGTTAAGATTAATTAGATTGCTCATAGTTTCTTCTAATAGAATATTTCCTTAACCTTAAATATCATTTAATCTTTCAAATTAAAATAAATCAATTAAATACGAATAGTTAGTTAGTTCTATTTTACCTAAATTCTTGATCATAATGTTTTTTTTTGTAAATAATATTTAGGAAAAACAAAATTTGGGTGTATATTTAATCATTGCTATTTAAATAAAATAAAATTATAACTATGTTAATTAATTTAAATTATTAAATTAACATATAAATTAATATTTTATTTAATATAATTTAAGATTCAAACTATAAAATTTGTATAAATGGTAGAAATAACTAGAGTAAGAAAATAATGTTATAATTTATTAAACAATTTGTTGAATATATTAAGATTTATTAAAATAAAAATATAGTTATTTACCTCACATTATTACCAGTTTCAACAAAATCCTTTATGTAGTGATATTGAGCAAATAATTAATTTATCTAATCATCTGAAATATTTTCCTTACTAAATATTAGATTGATAGAAAAAAGTAATTATGTAATTTAAGATAATAAAGTTAAATGATTACTTAAGATTTAGTACTAAAGATTCTAATTTTTAGCATTATACTAAACAATTGTTAAGTTAAGCAACTTATTTGTTACTAAGAGTACAATTTCTATTTATTTTATAAATAATAATAAAAGAATTTAATTTATGAATAAATTAATGAATGAAATTTTATTTATTCTTAATTTTGTAATAGAAAAGATAAAAAATTTAAAAATATTTATTTTTATTAAAAAAAATATTGCTTATTTTGATAAATTTATCATTAAATATGAATGAATAAATATTTATATATATATATATTTCTTACTTTAATTGTAAGTCAATATGAGTTTGAGCATTCAAGTCGGATTTCATTAACTGTTTGTTTAAAAAAAAGATTTAATAATAATAAATAAAATAAATAATGATGGATACTTCTTATAGAATATTTTAAGAGTTATTCTATTACTTCCTTTTTTTTTAGCTGTTTCCCATTTATATTTCTTTGATTATTTATTTATTAATTGATTATGATCAGAAATTAATAATTTTGACTAATTAAAAAAAATTATTGATTTTCTTTTTTAAATATACTTATTTACTTTGTACCATTCTAATATAATGTAGATTCTCCTATATTAACACCCATTTTTTGATAATATTTAGTTTGAATTAATTAAAATCTAATTTATTATTTCCAACAATAATTTATTTATAAAAAACCATAATAATCGAAGAATCGCCATTTATATATATAAATTCAATACTATATCTATTTTAATGCTATTGCTTTTGCTTTCTATATAATAAATAATTTGAATGAGTTTCTTTTTATTTATCTTCCTTATTCTTATTGATGTGTTAGCTTTTTTTTGCTGCTATTTTGTCGCACTAATTAAAAAATCCGCTTCTAAATTTTAAGAAAATCTAAATTCTTCAGCTAGATAATTTTTAATCTTTCAGTTATTTAGTTAGTTAGTTAACTGATTAATATTTATTTTTTAAATTTAGCTTTTTATAAATTTTTTGTTAATCTTATTAGCTATTTATTTATTTTCCTACTAACAAATAATTATTATTTATGAATATATAGAACTATTAAAATATCAAAGCAAATTAATTAATTAATTAGAATGAAATTTTCAAATAATTTAGGTTTTAATAAAAATTTGATTATTTTAATTTGTTTTTGAAATGCCTCATGAAAAAATAAATAAATATCTTTATTATCTTAATAATGATCACTTTTATTACTAAAAGATAATTAAAATTATTTTTTTATAATTGATAGTGACATATATTTTTTTCCATAAATTCTCATATTATTTAGAAAAAATATATTTTACAAAATTATTATTTTAAATATTATTTTGAAATACCTATTACAAGAAAAACAATGAAATATGCTAATTAATTAAAGTCATCAATAATTAAATAATATGAGTTTTAGCAAAGAAAAAATATCATGTAAAAATTATTTAAATATTTTAGTGTAAAATTCAAACAGACTTAAAAAAATATAAAATAAATTTAATTAATTTAATTTAAAATTTAAAACCAAAAATTGTATTTTATATTAATCTTGTGAGAAGAAGTAAAAAAAGATGATTGATCAATTGAAAGATTTATTTCAATTAACTATTTCTCTGTAAGAAATAATTTTTTCTTATCCCATAGCTGATATTATAGAGACAAGAATATCCTTTTGACTATCGAAATCTGCTCTAAGTTTTTCTACTAATTGTGGTTCATCGTCAGGAAGTTTAAGATCTTCCTTGGTTTCTCCGTTTTCAAGCAAAAGAGTGAGATAGTCATCATCTGATATATCTATCAATTAGAATTCATGTTTCTTTACAAATGGTATTTCCATATTATGTGAAGTTGGACATGAGTCTTCATATTTTTTGCCTGAGAAAATATCAATTCCAATGATAGTAGCCTTTGCGTGTCCATGCTTTCCTGCCTTACAAGTTGTCATTTCAGTAACTCTACAAGGGAAACCTCTTAGCATGGCATATCCATTTTTTTTAACATTACCAGCTTACATTGGATAAGTTAAAGAAGAACCAGATTCTCCTTAGTCGTAATGTTCGTAGTCAGACATTTAAAAAGTGTTTATTTTGAATTTAGCTTTCAATAGTTTAAGTAAGAGTTTGTTTGTTTTGATGATTTAATTATGTGAAAAATGATATAAAATATGAACATTTTTAAACTAGTATTATCAGTTAAGAGTAATTCTTTTATATTTTAAACTGATCTTGTATAATAAAATATTATATTTAATTCTTACTTTTAAATTTTACTTGTTATTTTATTAATAATTTTGAAATAATTTCTTCTAGCCTTAATAATTTAAAAGAATTTTAATATTTTATTAAATCATTAACATTTCAAGTCATCAACTTTCTTTATAAAAATGAATAAAAATATTTTGTTTGAATGAAATAAAGATTCATAAAATGAGAAAAATATAACAATATTTTAAATTTCTTTCAAATTTACATATAAAATAATTCTAAAAAGGTTTTAACAAAATTATTTTGATTTTAAATTTAAGAAAAGCCTTCATTTTTTTGTCAGAAATAGAAAATTCTTCCATATGGAAATAAATATATTAATCTTTTTGTTTATTGGTATTATGGAATGGCTCTCTTTATTGATCATAAAAATAAAGGTTGAACGTGAAATTTAATTAAAATTAGTATTTATTCATAAATTAAGAAAGAATTTTTTGTTTCTGACAGAATAAAAAGCGAATTAAAGTGGATACGAAATAAATAAATATATAAGTATATTTTTCATTAAATTATAAATAGATATAAATTACTTATATTTTTTAATTACTATTTTTGGATTTTTATTAATTTAATTTATATTTAATATCAGTCAGAATAAATTCTTCTTACAACAAAATTAAACTAATTTGATTATAAAAAGCTTACTTACGCAATTTATGTTTAAATATTCTGCTATTTATCTTATCACGCTATAAAATAAATTCAAATAATTATATTATAAATAGACTTAAATTCTTTATATTTTTACAAATTAACAAAATTGACTGATTTTTAACTTAAAATATTCGATAATATGAAATAAAACACCATTCAAAAAATATTAACTTTTCTCTTTAATTTTTTAATAAACTAGATTATTAATGCAAAAATAGATAAATTATTTTAAATAAAATATCACTGAAAAATATAAACAGGATAAAAAAGAATTATTATATTCTGTTATCGAGTTTATTATAATTAACTAAGTTTATTTCATTTTATAATAAACACATAAATCAACAAAATAAATTAAAATTTTACATAATTAAAAACAAAAGACTTTACTAATGTCTGACGAAGAAAACTTTTATTAAGGAGAAGCTGGTTCTTCTTTTACTTATCCTATGCAAGCTGGTAATATTAAGAAAAATGGTTATGCAATGCTAAGAGGTTTCCCTTGTAAAGTTACTGAAATGACAACATGCTAGGCTGGTAAACATGGTCATGCAAAGGCTACGATTATAGGAGTTGATATTTTCACTGGCAGAAAGTATGAAGATTATTGCCCTACTTCCCACAATATGGAGATCCCTTTTGTTAAGAAGCAAGAATATTAGCTTATGAATATAGATGATGACAATTATCTCACTCTCTTGCTTGAAAACGGAGAAACTAAAGAGGATCTTAAACTTCCTGACGATTAGCTACAAATTGTGGAAAAACTGAGAAGTGATTTCGAAAGCTAAAAAGATATTCTTATCTCTACTATTTAAGCTATGGGATAAGAAAAGATCATTTCATACAGAGAAATAGTTAATTGAAAAATAAATCATATATTTTTTAGATTAAAACTAATATCCACAAAAAATAAAATAAATTAATTCAAAAATATTTTTATATAAAGTCATTTTTAGAGAATTTATAATCATATCATTATAGGGCCAATAGGCTCAAAATTGATACTTACTTGTAAAAAAAATTTTTTAAAATTGATTTGAAAAAATCTGTCAAGACTTCACTTTTCCCTTTATATTTTAATAATTATTATATAACTATTAAATTATATCAAAGCATATTAATTAATTAGAATGAACTCTACAAATAATTCAGGTTTAAATAAAAATTTGATTTTTTTTATTAATTATTGAAATGCCTAATGATAAAATAAATAAATGTCTTTATTATCTAAATAATATTCAATTTTATTACTTAAAAATAATGAAAATTATTTTTTAAAATTTATTTTGACATTTAAATCCATACATTTAAATATTATTTAGAAAATGAATAATTGATAAAATAATTATTTTTTATATTACTTTGAAATACCCATAACAAGTAAAAAACATACTAATATGCTAATTAAAATCATGTATTATTAAATGATATGAATTTCAGCAAATAAATATTTTATAAAATTTATTTATAAATTTTAGTGTATTTGCGCTAAAAAATATAAAATAAATTTAATTTCTAATTTATAATTTATAATAAAAAGTTTATTTATATTATTGTGAGAAGTATAAAAAGAAAGAAGATATGTAGAATGATGTATTTCAATTAACTATTTCTCTGTAAGAAATAACTTTTTCTTATCCCATCGCTTATATTATAGAGACAATAATATCTTTTTGGTTATCGAAATCTGCTTTGAGTTTTTCTACTAATTGAGGTTAATCATCAGGAAGTTTAATATCTTCCTTAATTTCTCCGTTTTCAAGCAAAAGAGTTAGATAGTCATCATCTGATATACCTATTAACTATAATTCATATTTCTTTACAAATGGTATTTCCATATTACGCAAAATTGGACCAAATTCTTCATATTTATTGCCTGTGAAAATATCAATTCCAAAAATAAAAACCTTTTTTCGTCCACATCCTAAACTACCAGTTGTAATTTCTGTCACTAAGCAAGGGAAACCTTTTAGTATAGCATAGTCATTTTACTTAATATTAGCAGCTTACATCGTATAAGTGAAAGAAGAACCAGATTCTCCTTATTAATAATCTTTATAGTCAGACATTTAAAATTTTTTTAATTTGTAAAGAGCTTTCAGTAATCAAATTAAGAGTTTTGATGATTTTAATTATGTGAAGAATGAGATAAGATATGATAATTTATAAGCTATTATTATCAATTAATGTTAATAATTGTTTATTTTTAACTTATCTAAAGAAATTTAATATCTATTCTATCATTCGCATTTCAAATCATCAGCTTTCTATTATAAAAATAAATACTAACATTTTTTTTGAATTAAATAAAAATGTCTACAACAATAAAAATATAAAAAATATTTTCTTTAAAATTTACATATCAAATTATTCTAAAAAACTTTTAACAAAAATTATTTTGAATTTAAATTTAATGGAAGAATTCCTTTTATTTGTTAAAGAAAGAAAATTCTTTCATATGGAAGTCAATGTATTAATTAATCTTTTTACTTATTGATATAAGATATTGCTGATATTTATCTGAAATTTAATTAAAATTTGTATATTCCATAAATTAAGAAAGAATTTCTTATTTCTGATAGAATAAAAAGTGAGTTAAAGTGGCTACTAGATAAATAAAAAAATATCCTTTTAATTAAATGATTAATACAAATATATTTCATCTATTTTTTAATTACTATTTTTGGATGTTTATTAATTTACGAAATTTAAATAAATTCATTATCAAAAAGCTAATTTACGCAATTTATGTTTAAATATTGTGTTTTTTATATTAATATGTTGTTAAAAAAATTCAAATAATTATTTTATGAAATAAAAATAATATCAGAATAGATTTAAAATATTTATATTTTTACAAATTAACAGACTTTTAACTTAAAATATTCGATTATAAAAAATTAAATTCCTTTCAAAAAGTATTAGTTTTTCATTAATAATTTTTATTAATTTGAATATTAATGCAAAAATTAGATAAATTAATAAATAATTAAAGTAAAATATAACTGAAAAGTATAGACAAGATAAAGAAGAATTATTATATTCTATTATCTAGTTTATTATAATCAACCAGATTTTATTTAATTTTATAATAAACACATAAATCAATCAAATAAATTAAAATTTTGCATAATTATTAAAAAAAAACTTACGAATGTCTGACGAAGAAAACTTTTAATAAGGAGAAGCTGGTTCTTCTTATACCTATCCTATGCAAGCTGGTAATATTAAGAAAAACGGTTATGCTATGCTAAGAGGTTTCCCTTGTAAAGTTACTGAAATGACAACATGCAAGGCCGGTAAACATGGTCATGCAAAAGCAACAATTATTGGAGTAGATATTTTCACTGGCAGAAAGTATGAAGATTCCTGCCCTACTTCACACAATATGGAGATCCCTTTTGTTAAGAAATAAGAATATTAGCTTATGAATATAGCTGATGACAACTATCTTACTCTGTTGCTTGAAAACGGAGAAACTAAAGAGGATCTCAAACTTCCTGAAAATGAGTTACAAATGGTGGAAAAACTGAGAAGTGACTTTGAATGCTAAAAAGATATTCTTATCTCTATTATTTAAGCTATGGGATAAGAAAAGATGATCTCATACAGAGAAATAGTTAATTGAAAAATACATTTTTCAGATTAAAACTAATATCCACAAAAAAATAATATAAATTAATTCAAAATATTTTTATATAAAATTATTATTTTTATGAATTATGCGTAGTATTTTGAATTTAATAAATTTGCAGTAATTTAAGAAATCTATTTTTAATACATGTTTTAAGATATTCTATCATATTTTTTTTATGCATATTAGTTTAACAAATATTATTAAATGAATGATAATTGTTATTTATTTATTTATCAAATAAAAAGACTTTGACAATATTATCAAATGCCATTCAAAAATTTAGTAAATTGAGATCACTATTTTTTTGAATGGCTGATTCGTTTGAATATTATTTTTATAAAAATAAATAATTTTGTAATAGAATTTAATTAATAATATTAATCATTTTAATTTATATCAATCTTTATGATTTTTCTATTAAATTTTTTAATATACTTGTAAAAAAATTATAAAAAATTGAGTTGAAAAAATCTGTCAAGACTTCACTTTTCTCTTTATATTATAATAATTATTAAGGAACTACTAAATTATATCAAAGCATATTAATTAATTAAAATGAACTCTTCAAATAATTTAGGTTTAAATAAAAATTTGATTTTTTTATTTATTATTGAAATGCCTAATGATAAAATAAATAAATAAATAAATAAATAAATAAATGTCTTTATTATCTAAATAATATTCAATTTTATTACTTAAAAATAATGAAAATTATTTTTTTAAATTTATTTTGACATTTAAATCCATACATTTAAATATTATTTAGAAAATGAATAATTGACAAAATTATTATTTTTTATATTACTTTGAAATAAATACCCATAACAATAAAAAAACATACTAATATGCTAATTAAATCACATATTATTATATAATATGAATTTCAGCAAATAAATATTTTTTTTTAATTTATTAATAAATTTTAGTGTAAAATGCGTTAAAAAAATATAAAATAAATTTAATTTCTAATTTATAATTTATAATAAAAAGTTTATTTATATTATTGTGAGAAGTATAAAAAGAAAGAAGATATGTAGAATGATGTATTTCAATTAACTATTTCTCTGTAAGAAATAACTTTTTCTTATCCCATCGCTTATATTATAGAAACAATTATATCTTTTTGGTTATCGAAATCTGCTTTGAGTTTTTCTACTAATTGTGGTTCATCATCAGGAAGTTTAATATCTTCCTTAATTTCTCCGTTTTCAATCAAAAGAGTGAGATAATCATCATCTGATATACCTATCAATTATAATTCATATTTCTTTACAAATGGTATTTCAATATTATGCAAAATTGGACATAATTCTTCATATTTTTTGCCTGTGAAAATATCAATTCCAATAATATAAGCCTTTATATGTCCACATTTTCCTCCCTTACCAGTTGTAATTTCTGTCACTAAGCAAGGGAAACCTTTTAGTATAGCATAGTCATTTTATTTCACATTAGCAACTTACATTGGGTATGTGAAAGAAGAACCAGATTCTCCTTATTAATAATGTTTTTTGCCAGACATTTAAAAGTTTTTTAATTTGTATTTAGCTTTCAATAATTTAATTAAGAGTTTTGATGATTTTAATTATGTGAAGAATGAGAAAAGATATGATAATTTATAAGCTATTATTATCAATTAAGATTAATCATTGTTTATTTTTAACTTATCTATTGAACTTTCATATTTTTTCTATCGTTCGCATTTCAAATCATCAGCTTTCTATTATCAAAATAAATATAAATATTTTATTTGAATTAAATAAAAATGAATGCAACAATAAAAATATAAAAAATATTTTCTTTAAAATTAACATATCAAATTATTCTAAAAAAGTTTTAACAAAAATTATTTTTAATTTAAATTTAATAATAGATTTCCTTTTTTTTGTCAGAAAAAGAAAATTCTTTCATATGGAAGTCAACGTATTAATTAATCTTTTTACTTATTGATATTAGATATTGCTGATATTTATGTGAAATTTAATTAAAATCTGTATATTTCATAAATTAAGAAAGAATTTCTTATTTCTGATAGAATAAAAAGTGAGTTAAAGTGGCTACTAGATAAATAAAAAAATATCCTTTTAATTAAATGATTAATACAAATATGTTTCATCTATTTTTTAATTACTATTTTTGGATGTTTATTAATTTAATTTTTAATTGATATCAGTAATAATAAATTCTTCTGACAACAAAATTTAAATAAATTCATTATCAAAAAGCTAATTTACGCAATTTATGTTTAAATATTGTGTTTTTTATATTACTATGTTGTTAAACAAATTCAAATAATTATTTTATGAAATAAAAATAATATCAGAATAAATTTAAAACATTTATATTTTTACAAATTAACATACTTTTAACTTAAAATATTCGATTATAAAAAATTAAATTCCATTCAAAAAGTATTAATTTTTCATTAATAATTTTTAATAAATTTGAATATTAATGCAATAATTAGATAAATTAATTAAAGTAAAATATACCTGAAAAGTATAGACAAGATAAAGAAGAATTATTATATTCTGTTATCGAGTTTATTATATATAATCAACCAGATTTTATTTCATTTTATAATAAACACATAAATCAATCAAATAAATTAAAATTTTGCATAATTATTAAAAAAAAACTTACGAATGTCTGACGAAGAAAACTTTTAATAAGGAGAAGCTGGTTCTTCTTATACCTATCCTATGCAAGCTGGTAATATTAAGAAAAACGGTTATGCTATGCTAAGAGGTTTCCCTTGTAAAGTTACTGAAATGACAACATGCAAGGCCGGTAAACATGGTCATGCAAAGGCAACTATTATTGGAGTTGATATTTTCACTGGCAGAAAGTATGAAGATTCCTGCCCTACTTCACACAATATGGAGATCCCTTTTGTTAAGAAATAAGAATATTAGCTTATGAATATAGCTGATGACAACTATCTTACTCTGTTGCTTGAAAACGGAGAAACTAAAGAGG